AACCAATATAAAATTAGATTAATTTAAATTATAAAATTTTAAAACTAATATAATTAGTTTGGTTTTTAATTTTACTTTCAAACTGTCTGGATTGCCTAACTACATAATAAAACTCAATTATAAGATAACTTAATTAAATAATATAATATATTTTTAGTAGCATTTTAAATTTTATTTTTCTTGTTTTACAAAATAATAACTTCATTAACTTAATTAAAAAATAAAAATAGAACATTTCCATATTCCCCAATTTATTTTTCCTTCTTAATTATACACTTTAATCTTACTTTTAAATTTATAATTCACATACAATTCTATCCCTCAAAATTGGTATGCAACTCTACTCTTACAGCCTTAAATTTTTAATTTGTTTCTAAAATGATATTTTGATTCTTTTAACTAAGTTTTAAAGAAATATTATTGTAGAAGTTTTAAAATTATATGATAAAATTAGTCTTGGTATTTTACTATTTTTAGATTTTTAGTTAAGGAGTTTTAAGTATTAATTACGAATGCTTCTAATCAATCATATTGATATTTATGTTAAATTTTATTTGTTTTTAACAAGATTTAGAAATGAGATTAAATCATTGGTGTATTAAAGGGAAAAAAAAACTAATTTTAACCTTTAAAATTTACGTGCACTGTACTTGCAACTTAGAATCATCTTTTATTGTCCTTGGTGCTTCTTTGATGAGGTAATCAAGAAAAATTTCCAAATCTTTTGAACCTTTACAATTATAAAATAGTATAAGTATTTATTTATAATTTGTGCATTTTATTATATTTATATTGATTTAGACATTAATGTGTTTTATGATTATATTTTCTACTTGATATTAAATTTTTTTCCATTATTTTATATATTTAATAATATTAAAACTCGATCAATCTTATAAAATCACACCAATCGATTTAAGTTGGAATGATTTAGTTATCATATAATAATGGATTAGATTGAATTAAAAATTTTACTAACTGATTAAATTAAATTGATTTAAAAAATATTAAAATTCAAATCAAATCACACCAAGAATACTCCTATATCATACTTATAAATTATAATATCATTTAATATTATAATTATAATATTTTCTATTTTGATTAAAAAAAAC